GTGGTTAAGCTGCTGTTTGGCTGTCTGTGTAGTGCAGTTTGAATTCAAAATGTGTGGGTTACCTTTGGCTTATTTAAAGAAAAACAACATAAAACCCCCACCCCTCTCTTTTTCGTTGTTTGAACTGAGGACTTTGTGCTTGTTAGGCAGGTGCTCTATTGCTGAGGCATACTTCCAGTCCCTTTTAACATTACATTGGGTTTTTTTTTTTTTTAAGATATATTCTCGTATGCCTGGATCATGATCTCCCGATTTTAGGCTTCCTTTTAGTTGGAATAACAGATGGGCCATTCTAGCTAGTTTCTTTCCATTAGGATAGAATCTTATGGACTTTATTGCCTGGGACTAGAATTGGGAGTCTTCTAATCTCAGCTACCCATAAAACTAGGATGAGAAGTGTGTGCCACCACACAACACCAGCTGTGGGTTGAAAAGTGGGTCATGTGAACTTTTTTTGCTTTGGTTGGCCTTGAATTGCAATTCTACCATTATCAGCATCCCAAGTGACTAGGATAACAGGTATGGGCCACTAGTGCTCAGCACTGTTCCCTCATCCCCCAGTGGGTTGGGATTGAACCTTGTCATGCACTACTGGCACTGGGAAAGTTCTTTATCTTTTTTTTTCCCTCTTTTTTTTTTTTTTTTTTGTCAACCATGGAGCTTGAACTCTGGGCCTGGGCACTGTCCCTGAGCTCTTCAGCTCAAGATTTCAGCCTCGTAGCTAGGATTACAGACATGAGTCACCTGTGCCAGCCAAGTTCTTTATCTTTTTAAAAGCTGTTATACTGGGTGCCAGTGGCTAACGCCTATAATCCTAGCTGCTCAGGAGGCTGAGATCTGAGGATCTCAGTTCAAAGCCAGCTAGAGCAGGAAAGTCTGTGAGACACTTATCTGCAATTAACCACCAGAAAATCAGAAGTGGCACTGTGGCTCAAGTGGTAGAGTGCTTGCCTTGAACTGAAGAGCTGAGGGACAGTGCCCAAGTCTAGAGTTCAAGCCCCACAAATGACAAAAAATAAAATAAAAAGCAGGTTATTAGATAGCTGGGAAGGTGGCTCAGTGGTAGAGTACTTGCTTTGCATGCATGAAGCCCTGTGTTCGATTCCTCAGCACCACCTAAGCAGAAAAAGCTGGAAATGATGCTGTGGTTCAAGTGGTAGAGCACTAGCCTTGAGATGCAGAGCTGAGGGACAGCATGCAGGCCCAGAGTTCAGCCCTCAGGACTGATCAAAAACAAAAAAACAAAAAAACAGGTTTTTAGAGCCATATAGGTAGAAGGATAGCCAGGCACTGGTGGCTCTTGCCTGTAATCCTAACTACTCAGGAGGCTGAGATTTGAGTTCAAAGCTAGCCCAGATAGGAAAGACTGTGAGACTCTTATCTCCAATAAACTACTCAAAAAAAAAAAAAAAGCCAGAAATGGACCTGTGGTACATGTGATAGAGCACTAGCCTTGAACAAAAAAAGCTTAAGAAGAGTGTTTAGGCCCTGAGTTCAAGCCCAGGACCAGAACTTTAAAAAAAAAAAAAAGGTATAATTGACTTAGTAGATGGGAAATTTTTTTTGGAGGGTGAGGTCTGGCCCTTGGGGTTTGAACTCTGGGTCTTATGCTCTCCTTGGCTTTTTTTGGTAGCATTCTACCACTTGATCCAGGCCTCCTGACGCTATAGTAGATGACATTGGAGAAGGATTATGCTATTTGGTATTGGACTTAACTAAATATTTCACTATTTATTTATTTATTTATTTATTATTTATTTATTGGGTCCGGTCGTGGGGCCTGAACTCTGGGCCTGGGCGCTGTCCCTCAGCTCTTCAGCTCAAGGCTAGAGCTCTACCACTTGAGCCACAGCGCCACTTCCAGCTTTTTTTTTCTTTTTGCTTATGTGGTGCTGAGGAATCGAACCCAGGGCCTCATGCATGCAAGGCAAGCGCTCTACCACTCAGCCACCTTCCCAGCCCCAGCCCGTTCACATTTTAGTAAAATGTTTTTGTCCTCAGTATTTTCCCAGATCATTTTTATTACCTCTCTTGCCTGTGTTCTTTCTGGCTTTCACCTCTAGTTTCTGACACGCCTACAGCAAGTATGAGAACCTACTGCCTTAACCTACATAGTGCTCATAATGTTGCCATTCAGAGCCCAAGAATCCTTTTATCAGCTGCAGTCTTTTTTTTTCTCCCCTTGCTCCCTGTGCTTAGGTATGTGTCATAGGGCAGGCTAAGTTTCAGTAAGCTTCTAGTGCACATACTGGAAATCCCACCAGCCTGCCAAGACCTTTTGACTGAGCAATGTGGAAGCTTGGAAGTTGTCATTCCTTTGCAGCAGTTGAGCTGAAGGAATGCTGTATGACTTGTTGCAAGTTGCTTAGTGGCCTCAAGTGAGGTGTGTTTGATGGGTATGTAGAGAGATGAGGGTCTTGTAGTCTGCATGGTAAACATGGATTTCTCTCTTAGAGCTATATTAATCATGTCATTATTTATTGAGTATCACCTATGACTGTCACTATGATAGGTGTTTTTGGAATACTATAATAAATATATAATTAAATGATAGCACAGTAGTCAAATAATTCTAGCTCTACGACTTACCAGCTTTGAATTGAGAAGTTAATGTCTTTATATTTGTTTGTTCTATAAAATTGAACTATTAATATATACCTGATATGCTAGTCTAAAGATAGAGAATGTAAGTATTGTGTTTAGCTTATGCCTGATACTAGTTAGCATTTCATTTCATGTGGTCATATCCAGGATATAGGATTGATACCATATTAAACAAATAGAGTACCAAGAACATGGTAAACAATGACAGTACAGTATATGATCAGATACCTTAATTGTAGCATATAGATTATGAAGATCATAAATAGTTTTGGAATATAGAGAAGGTAAAGAATAGGGAATGAAAGTCTTGTGCAATCACTTAACATTCCCATGTCTCAGTTTTTCCACTGGGCACATTGCGGATACTGCCAGGTGTTCTCCCAAAGAATGATTGAAAGATTAAAACATCTTTGCTTGTTTTTGTTTGTTTGTTTGTTTGTTTTTGAGACAGGATCTTACTATGTAGGTCAGCCTGGCTTTGAACTTGAAATCCTTTTACCTCTACCTTCCAAGTGCTGGGATTACATATGTCAACAACTATGCCTGCCCCTATTTTTGTTTCATTTTTTAAATGGCAAGGAAAAGAAGCCTGAGAAGCTCTTAGAAATTTAAATTTTCACTTTTTTTTTCTTATGTGGGCATGGCAGCTTATAAGAAATCTTAAAAACTAGGAATGAGGGCTGGGAAGGTGGCTCAGTGGTAGAGCGCTTGCCTTGCATGCCTAAGGCCCTGGGATCAATTCCTCAGCACCACATAAGCAAAAAGAAAAAAGCCAGAAGTGGTGCTGTGGCTCAATTGGTAGAGTGCTAGCCTCGAGCTGAAGAGCTGAGGGACAGCACCTAGGCCCAGAGTTCAGACCCCATAACCCAGACCCCCACCAAAAAAACCCAAACAAACAAACAAACAAAAAACTAGGAATGAGGTTCCTTCCAGAGAACGCGCTTAATTTGATATATTAGTCACTGTTTCTGAATGGGTATTTTGATGAGTTGAAACCAAATACTGGTAAATGGATGATGACCTCTAATTGTGAGCTCCTCTGATATAACTGGAAGATTAAGTGATTTTTTTTTTTTTTTTGGGTCCAGTTGTGGGGCCTGAATTCTGGGCCTGGGCGCTGTCCCTCAGCTCTTCAGCTCGATGCTAGCTCTCTACCACTTGAGCCACAGTGCCACTTCCGGCTTTTTTTCTTTTTGCTTATGTGGTGCTGAGGCATCGAACCCAGGGCCTCATGCATGCAAGGCAAGCGCTCTACCACTGAGCCACCTTCCCAGCCCCAGATTAAGTGATTTTTAAACCAAACTATCTCTCTTGGGTAGAAAGCAGACAAAAGAAAAAAAAAAAAAGCAGTGGGAACCTGTGGCTCATGCCTGTAATCCTAGCTACTCAAGAACCTGAGATCTGAGGACTGCAGTTCAAAGCCACTACTGGCTTTGGACTCTTATCTCCAATAAGCCACTCAGCAAAAGCCAGAAGTGGTGCTATGGCTCAAGTGGTAGAGCACAAATAGGCTTAGAAACAGCACCCAGGCCTGAGTTCAAGTCTCAGGACTGGCAAAAAAAAAAGAAAAAAAAAAAAGGCAGAAGTTGTAGGTCTCTTAGACTGGATATTAAGAATGTGTGGTCTACTCGTACCATGAGTGTTTCTCTGGGATGGGACATCTTTATTACTGAACAGAATCTAGATTGTTATCTTGTCCCTCCCACCTTTAAGCAGGTTTTTCATAACCATACAGGAACAATACCTTTAATGAAAGTGTTTTAGGGCTGGGAATGTGGCTTAGTGGTAGAGTGCTTGCCTAGCATGACACTGTGGGTTCGATTCCCCAGCACTTCTAGAAAAAGCTGGAAGTAGAGCAGTGAGTCAAGTGGTAGAGTGCTAGCCTTGAGCAAAAGAAGCTCAGGGACAGTGCCCTGGCTCTGAGTTCAAGCCCTAGGACTGGCCAAAAAAAAAAAAAAAAACAACCCAAAAAACAAAATAGTGTTTTATTCACAGTATCCAAAAGAAACCAAGTTCCTAGTTTGGGGTATACTTAGTTGGTGACTTTTTTATTTTTTTTATTTTTATTTTTTGCTTTAAATTCTTTTGGTTAACTTGATTTTCAGAAAGTTTAGATTTAGTTTTCATTTTGGTCCAAATAAACTTACTTTTCCTTCTAGAAAACTTCAGAAAAGTTTCCCATGAAAATATGTTTGTTCATACCTTTTATTTTCTTTAGTTTATTCGCTTTTTCTTTCCTTTTCTCTCTTTCTTTAAAAAAAAATTCAGCATTGTTTGCCAAGGTTTCAAGTTTATAGTGAGAGGTGAGGCAACGTTGATCTTGGCAGAACAGTGCAAAGCCAGTAGAGTCATTAAGTGACGCAAGCTTTTGATTTTTTTTTTTCTTTCTGTTAAAGCTCTCTGGCACAGCTGGCTATTCTAGTCCCAGAAGAATACAGAAGAGACTTTCTGAAGATCTGGTTGAGGCTGTAGAAGAAATTTGGGGCACACGATAAAGAAGCAACAGAGAGTATCAACTAGAAAACTCTAGATAATCCAGACAAGCTTCTTGGCTTTGTGGGATCTTTTAAATTGTTTCAGAACTTGAATTTTTGCTACAGAGGATGAGGAGACAAGCCAATAAAGGGCAAGGAGGACTGTTCTAGATTTCTGCTTATCCGTTCGCCTCTTCTTTGAGTTGGAAAAACTGTCCACAGAAGCCTTGTGAACAAGACTGAAGAGAATCTATTTCCCTGATTCTGGCTATTGTTGGAGTTGAGGATTATATCCACTTCAGCAGGCATTTTTGGAAGCAATTAAAAAAAAATAGAAGGAAGCAATATTTAAGGACTTCTCTACATTGGTCCTGTGCCATGTTACATTTTGAATACTGGAGCAACTAAGGGACATCTCTATCTTCTGGATCTAAGAATATACCTGAATCCTTTGAGCTTGCATAAATGATGTTTGGAAGGTGGAAAACTAAAAAGTCTTTCAACATAAACTTATTAAATTCTGGATTCTCTTTCTTTTGAGGACTTCAGCTGGTAGAAATTTCCTTCCAAAAAGATACAAAGCCTTCCCTGTGTTTTCAAGCTAAATGTGAACAATAATGTCTTGGAAAAGAAATTACTTTTCAGGGGGCCGTGGCAGTGTCCAAGGGATGTTTGCACCTCGAAGCTCAACTTCCATAGCTCCCAGCAAAGGCCTCAGCAATGAGCCAGGGCAGAATAGCTGCTTCCTCAACAGTGCGCTACAGGTAAGGAAACTTTTTTGTTTGTTTTGGTGAACTCTGTTAGTTGCTGATGTTGTATTTCTGATAGTTGTTTAAAATATTTAGGGTTTGGAGGTATGGCTTATTTGGTAAAGCACTAGCCTACGAGCCAAAAATGTCAGATGCTGAGTTTAAGTTCTGGTATTGGATCCCAAACATTTTTTAAATAAGTATTTGACAGTCTCTGTTTGAGGTCAGTACCCTGAGATCATTTTTTTAAAGTTTATTTGTGATCTTAGACAAATCTCTATATCTGTTACCTCATTTACAGAACTAGGGATTAATAATGACAATGGAAATAATAATAACTGTTTAACTACTATTACCTGCTGGAAGTTGGGTAATTTTTCCATTTGTTTTTAAACTTTTTTCTTTTTTTTTGTCGGTCGTGGGGCTTGAACTCTGGCCCTGGGCGCTATCCTTCAGCTCAAGGCGAGCGCTCTACCACTTGAGCTACAGCGCCACTTCCTAAACTTTTTTCTTTTTGGAGGAGAGGTACTAAGGTTTGAACTTGGGGTCTTGAGCTAAGTTGGCTTGCTTGCTGGGCTGGTTCTCTACTACTTGAGCCATACTTACAGCCCAGATTTTTGCTAGTTTGTTTTCCTTTTTGTTGATCCTGGGGCTTGAACTTAGGGCCTGAGAGCTGTCCCTGAACCTCTTTGTGCTCAAGGCTAGCACTCTACCACTTAAGCCACAGCACCACTTCCTGCTTTTTTGAGTAGTTCATTGGAGATAAGACTCTCTTGGGGCCTTTTTTGCCTGGGCTGGCTTCAAACTCTAATCGTTAGGTCTTGAGTAGTTAGGATTATACGTGTGAGCCACTGGCACCCAGCTTGCTAGTTATTTTGAAGCTAGAATCTTACAGAATTTTTTCTGGCTGGCCTGAAACTGTGATCCTCTGGATCTCAGCCTTGTGAATAGCTAGGATTATACCTGTACCCACCATCTACTATGTCTCTGAACAGTCTGTACTGTTTCTTTATTTTTCTTTTTAAGACAAGGTATCTTATTAACCTAGTTACTTTTCTCTAGAGTAGAAAGCAAAGTTCCTTCCAAAAGTCAAAGACTTCCAGGTATATTATTGTTTCCTAATATTCAAACTCCTTAGCCTACACACTGAATGAGACAATCTGTCTGCTCCTCACCTCCTCCCTTTGAGATTTCCTATTGAATCATGATTGGTGTCAGCTGAGACAAGTTTAAAAGAGTTAGTAGAAAGCCAAATCTCCTAAGGTGATTATTTACCCTAGATTTTCCCTTTCATTGTGGTATATCACCAAAGTAGCTTTAGACTCCTGAAGCTTTCCCTCTGTAGGTGTACTTTGCCTAGTTAGGTTCATAGACTGTTAAGTTCATCCCCTTTGCTTAAATTTTAAATAATTAGCTAACCAAGATAATTGTACTTGAGCAAAACTATAGTAGCTTTACTCCTCAGATATAATGAGAAAATAGGTTGCTATGAAAGGAGGAAAAGACAGAAGTGTTTGATATAAAGAACACTGAATTGGGGAATGCGGAGACTTGAATTCTAGTTTTAGCTTTGTCACCTTACACAGGTAATAGCATTTGAGTTTCCTCATTCATATATATAAAGTTTTATATTTTCTTAGTTTTCAGGTTTTTATTTGAAAATATTTTTTTAAAAAATCGAGTGTTATCAAGCTTATAGAATTACTAATTACTAATTACTACCACAAATTGAATCTAGTTAGATGCTGAATAAATTTTTAAAATTTTTCTTCTACATGATATATATTAGTTTTTTGAGTGATTTTTTTTTTTTTTTTTTTGGGTCAGTTGTGGGGCTTGAATTCTGGGCCTGGGCGCTGTCCCTCAGCTCTTCAGCTCAAGGCTAGCACTCTACCACTTGAGCTACAGCGCCACTTCTGGTATTCTGGTGGTTTATTGGAGATAGGAGTCTCACAGTCTTTCCTGCCCGGGCTAGCTTTGAACCGTGATCCTCAGATCTCAGCCTCCTCCTGAGTAGCTAGGATTACAGGCATGAGCCACCAGTGAGCCACCAGCGCCCGGCTTGAGTGATTTTTTTTATTACTGATAACTTTTATAATTTAGAAGCAGGCAAACTTTTTTCTGTGTTTTTCTATTTATATTGTCATTTAATTTTATCAATTTCTATTCTAGTGTCTGGTGGCATTATACAACATATATTATGTATAATATACATATTTCTTCTTTGTATACACATACACATTTCTATATCCATACTTAAAGAATGAGGCAATGATGATTTTGTATTCCCTTCTATAATCACTGTTATAAGTTAATAACTATAAGCTAATATTCTACTTTTGATTTGAAAGCTAGGTTATAAATGTGTTGAACCTATTACATTTGTTATAAAAAGATGTTATTTACTTGTGAGTAGGGTCTACTTTAAAAAAGCGTTTAGTATTTGTTTGAGACATGTAAGAAAGACACACTCCCTAGGTGTGCTGTGATCTGGGGCTCCATAAGTCATACTTACTCATATATCATGCCATTAAATGTTATCTTGTCAAGACATACTTAATCCTTTCCACTGGAAGGAGAAGCTGTACTTTTCTTTTCTTTTTTTTTTTTTAAATTTCTGTTGGTTGTGGTATTTGAACTCAGGGCCTGGGTACTGTCCTCACCTTTTTCATTCAAGGTTGGTACTTTACCACTTGAACCACAGCTCTACTGCAGGCTTTTTGATGGATAATTGGAGATAAGAATGTCATGAACTTTCTTGTCTGGGCTGCCTTGAAATGTGATCCTCAGATCTCAGCCTCCTGAGTAGCTAGGATTATAGATGATATTACTACTATTTTTCTCATTGACTTTAAGAAGTTCTCTCTTTTTTTAATTTATTTTTTTATTCTGCAGTTTTGGTTTTTGTGGGTCATACATACTAAACAAGTATACTACAATTGAGCTTTTTTCTGCCAGCCTTCTTCTACAGGATCCCATTTGAGATATATCATACCATATTTTCATGATGTGACCTCTTTATTTTCAAATTAATTTATTTTCCAGAATATGTGTATTCGTCCCTCATTATACACATGCTTGCTTACTCTCTTTAATTTAAAATTAAATGGTACCTGTTTATAGAGTAATAAAGTATTTTTCCTTTTTTGGAAGGTTTTGTGGCATTTGGACATCTTCCGACGTAGTTTTAGGCAGCTTACAACTCACAAGTGCATGGGAGATTCCTGCATCTTTTGTGCTCTTAAGGTAAGCCCATCAGTTTGTTTCTTCTATCTTTATGTTGCCAAATGGACAACATAAAAGGAGACTGGGTTAATTAAGGTGATTCTAAAGGATTTGTTTCTGAATTATCTGCCTGTAGTTTAGGATGTGATTTTGTTTGCTTAAGAGTAAAATTATGTAACTTAGGTCTTTCTTCTGAACCTTTTGCCTATATAGTGTTATATGATGTGATAGGATATTATTAAAGTTGCCTCTTCTTTGGGCTGAGCACTGGTGGCTCACACCTGTAATCCTATCTACTCAGGAGACTGGGATCTGAGAATCATGGTTCGAAGCCATCTAGGGCTGAAAAGCCCATGAGACTGGTAATTAGTCTCCAATTAATCACCAAAAAAACTACAGCTGGAGGTATACATCAAGTAGCCTTCATTCTTTTTTGTTGTTGTTGTTGGTGGTGGTGGTGGTCAAATTCTGGGTGGGCCTGGGCACTGTCCCTTAGCTCTTCAGCTCATTTTTTTTTTTTTTTTTTGGTTGGGCGTGGGGCTTGAACTCTGGGCTTGAGGGCTATCTCTGCACTCTTTAGCTCAAGGCTAGCGTTCTACCACTTGAGCCACAGCACCAATCCCGAGCTCTTCAGCTCAAAGTGAGTGCTCTACTTCTTGAGCCACAGGGCAACTCTGGCATTTTCTGCTTATGTGGTGCTGAAGAATCCAGCCCAGGGCCTCATGAAGCAAGCACTCTACCACTGAGCCACCTTCCCAGCCCTCCAGATTCATTTTTAAGTCACCTGAAGTCTGAATTCTTAAGGATGCTTGGATATGATAATTACATGTCTAAAAAATTTATGTATCTTAAAGTAGGAATTTTGACTAGAAATCTTGGAAAATGTCCTAGTTATACTGACTTATAAATAACAGTTTATTCCAAAACAGTGTTTGATAACATCCTTATGGAGTTTTAAGTATGATAGGCCCTGAGAAAGAGTTAAGTGTGTTTTCTCAACTTCTTGCCTCACGGGTCACAAACTCCCCCGCCTTTGTTTGGTATTATCACAACATTTAGCAAAACACAGAATATAAACCATTGGTTAGGGCTGGGAAGGTGGCTCAGTGGTAGAGTGCTTGCCTCGCACGCATGAGGCCCTGGGTTCAATTCCTTAGCACTGCAGAAACAGAAAAAGCCGGAAGTGGTGCTGTGGCTCAGTGGTAGAAGGCTAGCCTTGAGTTGAAGAGTGCAGGGAGAGCGCCCAGGCCCCCAACTGACAAAATAAAATAAAATAAACATTGGTTAATTGGAGAGTTTAAATATGAAATTTAGTTAGGTCACACAAATGTTTTACAAATTGATTGTAACATTTCCTACTATGCCAATTAAGACAAATCCTTCCAAAAAATCATTTGATCTAATGTTCTGAATGGTATATTGATAGTAGGTATCTAGTTTTTTGATAGTGCAGTGGCTCCTTGGTGAGTTAGTCCAAGGAAAATCTTATTTGTGGCATAAAAACCACGCTAGGGAGATATTTACTATGGAGATGTTAATGCTGAAGAGATCTTTGATGGAAAAGTCTCCTGAAACTTGAAACTCTTGTCTGTACCAGGAAGGGTTGATAGAACCTGTATGTCTTTGACTGGTTGGTACAGTGTTGAACTCTTTATTCATCTAGGAGGGACTGGGCAGAACAATCTGCAACATTTTGTTGTTTCCTTTTCTAGAGCAACATATTTATTATAAATTAATATTTTATAAGCCAGAGATAAAAATTAAAGTTATTAGACTTTATGGGACACACCCTGAGACATGCAAATACAGAAGAGAACTTATTTTTCAGTCTCTTTGGACTGAGGAAATGTCTTGAGACCTTTTCAGAAAAGAAGTTGCTTGTGATGGATTGGTAACAAGCTTAGGGGATCAAAGGCTTTATTTTGGGACTTCATATCGCTAGGATTGTGTTGAATTTCTGGTATTTTCTAGATTACATCAATGTCTAATCAAATTAAGAGCTTTATTTTTCTTTTTGGTCTCTTTTGTTATGTTAGGAGTTTATTAAAGATTTGATTGTTTTTCCCTCTAAAGTATTTCTCCATCATGAAGTACTATGTAAATATTAATCAACTGAGCTATAGTCTGTATACTCTTTAATTTTAGGTGTCCTTGTTTGAAAATTCTTTCAACTTATTTTTTCTTGCTGGTCTTAGGGCTTGAACTCAGGGCCTTGGGTAACCATCTCTGAGCTTTTGTGCTCAAGGCTGACTCTCTACCACTTTGAGCCACAGCTCCACTTCGGTTTTCTGGTGGTTAATTGGAGATAAGAGTCTTGTGGACTTTCCTGCCCAGGCTGGCTTTGAACCTTGATACTCAGATCTCAGCCTCCTGAGTAGCTAGGATTACAGATATTAGCCACTGGTGCCTGGCATAATCATAGTGCTTTTTTTTTGTTTGTTTGTTTTTGGTTGGTCATGGGACTTGAACTCTGGGTCTGAGCACTGTCCCTCAGCTCTTCAGCTCATGCCCAGCACTCTACCACTTGAGCTACAGTGCCACTTCCGGTTTTCTGAGTGGTTTATCGGAAATAAAAGTCTCATGGCCTTTCCTGCCCAGGCTGGCTTTGAACCTTGATCCTCATATCTCAGCCTCCTGAGTAGCTAGGATTACAGGCGTGAGCTACCGGTGTCAGGCATAATCATAGTTTTTAAGAGATAGTCTTGTATCTGGGTGGGAGAGAAAGAAAAGGAATGGTGAGTCTATGAGGTGTAAACCTCTGAGATACCATCAGTGTGTCTGGATCTTTCTATGGATGTCTCTTTCTGTTCCCCACTTAAAAATATTTTTATAGAATATGAAAATAATGTCGTTCATAACTGAATTAGATTCTTGGTAGTTTAACAAATAAAAACAAAGATATAGAGATTAGGTAGGAGGAAACAAAGTTGTCATTATTTTCAGGTGAAGTGATTGACTATCTAAAAAAAAAAACCCTACAGGACTGGGAAGTTGGCTCAGTGGTAGAATGCTTGCCTCACATGGCCCTGGGTTCGATTCCTCAGCACCACATACACAGAAAAAAGCGGGAAGTGGTGCTGTGGCTCAAGTAGACAGCGCCCAGCCCCAGAGTTCAGACTCCACGACTGGACCCAAAAAAAAAAAAAAAAATCCTAGCCTGATGATATGACTCAGTGGTAGAGTGCTGAGGTTCTGTTTTTTTTTTTTTTTTTTTTTTTTAAGTATTTGTTGATTGATTGGTTGTCAGTTGTGGGATTTCAACTTAGGGCTGCCTGCCTGCCTGCCTGCCTGCCTGCCTGCCTGCCTGCCTGCCTGCCTGCCTGCCTGCCCTCCCTCCCTCCCTTCCTTCCTTTTTTTGTTGTTGTGGGGCCTGAACTCTGGGTCTGAGCACTGTCCCCCAGCTCTTCAGTTCAAGGCTAGTGCTCTACCACTTGAGCAAGAGCTCCATTTGTGGCTTTTTCTGCTTATGTGGTGTTGAGGAATCGAACCCAGGGCCTCAGGCATGCAAGGCAAGCACTCTAACCACTGAGCCACCTTTCCAGTCCAGGTCCTGGGTTTTATCCTCAGCAACACACACACACACACACACACACACACACACACACACACACACACACACACACACACACACACACACACACACACACACACACTCAGGCATGCAAGGCAAGCACTCTAACCACTGAGCCACCTTTCCAGTCCAGGTCCTGGGTTTTATCCTCAGCAACACACACACACACACACACACACACACACACACACACACACACACACACACACACACACACACACACACACACACACACACACACACACACACACACACACACACACACACACACACACACACACACACACACACACACACACAGCTTGGGGACTGTGGAACATACCTTATATTTAGGTCAGCTACTTAGTGTCTGAGGGAGGAAGATTTCTTGGGTCCATGATTTCAAGGCCAGCTTGGCAACATAGCAAACTCCCTTCCACATACTAAACAGACTTGTGGCTGGGGGTAGGACTTAAGTGGTAGAGTGTTTGCTTCCTAAGCTTAAGGCCTGGAGTTCAAACCCCAGTATGGTTGGAGTGGGGGGAGGGAACAAAACAAATTCAACTTTTCTTGAAATTTCATTGGGTGGATTTTGTTTTGTTGTTGTTATCTTTGTTTTGTTTTTCTGCATGCTCAGTAGGTCCCTTCTGCTCATATCTTACTCACCTGAGCTAATCATCTTGTCTCTCTTGAACCACAAGGAAGTACCATCCCATTGTGATCCTCAGGATAAGGAGAAATATTTGCCAAACAGTAATAATAACTGTCACGCTTTCTAGACCTAAAAAAAAAATCTATTAATGCAGGCTCATTCCTGTATTTCTAGCTACTTGGAAACCTGACATTGTTGGGATCATATTTCAATGTCAGCCCAGGCAGAAAGAAGTTCACAAGACTGCTTTTCAACAAAGTGCTGCATGCCTGTTAGTCTAGTCTACCACGAGGTTAAGCGTATTTGGGTCTTACCCAGGAATGTACCTGGGTAAGAAGTGAGACCCTATCTCAACAATAACCAGCAAAAAGCAGGGCTATTTAGCAAACTTGAGGTCCAGAACTCAAGCTCTAATACTGCCAAAAAAATACATAAATAAATAAAACATAATATAGTTTAACTGGGTGCTGTTAGTTCATGTCTGTAATCTAGCCATTCAGAAGGTTGTGACTTGGAGGACTGAAGTTTGAAGCCAGTTAAGCAGAAAAGGTCTCAAGGCAGATCTCCAATTAACCAGCAAAATTCTTTTTCTTTTTCTTTTTTTTTTTTTTTGTGCTGGTACTGAGGCATTGTAATCTTGTATGACTTTTTCCACTCAAGGCTATAGTTCGATCACTTGATCTGAGGGTTTAATCTGTTCAGGCTGGCTTCCAACTTCAAGATTAAGCTGTTGGTCAATAAGGGACTGGGAGGAGAGAAAGCAATAGAGGTTTTTTTTTTTTTTTTTAAATTTCTTTATTGAGATTAAGTGATTACATA